CTCGCGTGTCCCTGCCGCGGCGTGGTCCCGTTGTCACTGCCCAGGGGCTCCCAGAGCTCCGTCCCGCAGGGATCCCGAGCTCCCGGCGCGGAGCCACCTCCCGTGCAGAATCCAGAGCTGTGAACGCCCATATTCTCGTCATGCACTCAGTGTTTTCCTCAGTACCATTTTTTGGGGCGTTGTTTTTGTTTTATTTTTTGAACCCCTGTAAATGTTTGGAACGGTTGGGACCCAGCACTTGGTGGTGTGGTGCCGGTGTCTCTCCCCTGCAGGGCAGCAGCTCTTCCAAAGCCTATCCCGCTGCAGATGAAGTCGGGAGCAGATTTCCCTCTGGAAACCCATGCAGGCTGTTTGCCATGGAGCGATTTTTCTGCATGTATCTACTAGCTCTGCTCTTTATTGTTATTATCACCATTTTACAGCACTGGAAGCTCATTGAGCAGGTTGTGGTGGAATTAAATGCGCAGTTAATATAGCAGGAAAGGTGAAAAGGGCGACTTAACTTGTGTTGTGTCTTTCTAGGCTGACATCAGCTGGTCGGTGGATGGCATGCCACAGGGGACCATCAGGCAGCCCCTGGGCTACATTCCCATCATGGTGAAGTCCAAGCTGTGCAACCTCCATAATCTTTCTCCGCAAGAGCTCATGCAGCACCATGAGGAGGAAGAGGTAACGGGGATTTTGTGGGTCAGGAAAATCTGCGTTTTACATAAGCAGTATTTTGGGCCAGCTTCTCCTGACACCACTTGAGTGTTTAAGCTTTGCTTCAAGTCCAACTGGTTTTTTTTCCTGAATGTTCTCTGTTTATGGTCGTTTCAGACATCTTGAAAAACGTGCGGTCACAGCTGTCTCTGAGTACAGGGATCTGTTTGAGGCCGATACCTACAGCTCCCATAGGCAACTTCTCAACTGCACCCAGCAGCTGAGGCTGAGTAGCTGTCAGTGGGCCTCTGTGGAGACCAAGGTTTGGAGAGCAGGCGTTGAAGGAGATATTTCCATTCTGCTGTAGCTTTTTCCTCATCTCCCCAGTAGCATGTCAGCTGTGGGTAACTGGACACAGAATTACTTAGTGCTGTGTTTTGCACTCATAAAAAGAATGAGCAAACTGTGAAAGAAAATCTACAGCAGTGTACCGTTGCTGTTCACTGTCTCCTGCCCCAAATCTGCTGTTTGTGCCCGTACTCATAGTATGACTCGTTACTGAAACGGTGTGTCGTAGTGGCAGATGGTGTGGGGAGCTGTAAATTTATCAGTGTGAAGCTTGTGTGTGACCAGAAAGAGGTATTCTGCAGTATCTCTCTGGTTTATAAACTTAAAATGACAACTTCAGAGTGTTTATTAAAAAAAAAAGGTGCTGTCGGCTCTTAAAAGCCATTCAGTGGGCACACAGGATTTTTGGTTGGTTTTTTTTGTCTGTCTTTTACGCTGTGGGACATGCACCCCTTTCGTAGTACTGTGTGCTGCAGGAGCACAGCCTTGGCAAGTGCGGTGCTGAAACGTGTCTTGCTGTGTTTCAGAGTTAAAACATGAAATGTTTGTTCACATATAATACAGGCATTTTTTGTCTTTTACCTAAGATGCTGGGTTATGAATTTCTAAGCAGATTAAAATATTTTTTCTTCTTCTGCCAGGAAATGGGAGGCTACTTTATAATTAATGGCTTAGAAAAAGTTATTAGGATGCTGATTATGCCCAGGCGAAATTTCCCCCTTGCAATGGCGAGACACAAGTGGAAAAACCGAGGCCCTGGCTTCACCGAGTACGGTAAGCTGAACCCTTCCTGCTGGTGACCGCCTGAGGACAAGCAGGAGTGACCACCAACAGCTGACTGTTGGTACTTTGTTTTGCTGTACCTCTTGTATGATGCCTGTTTGCTTTACTACATATAAAAATAAGGAGTCAGCACCAGCATAATGGCACAGGCATGAGGCAGGTGCTTGCCTGGTTGTGCTCCAGGCCCTGCAGTACCTGCAGCCTTTTGTTACAGGGAAGGTGTGACTGGAACCCCTGCCTTCAGCAGAGGTCTGCTGTGGACTGCTTAAGTTGGTTCACTGAATTTGTTTATCCATACTTCGAGGTGGTAGATTTAATTTACATGAAACAGATTAAGTGGGCTCTTGGTTGTCCCTTACCTGTGTCATGCGTACTCAGTAAAACAAGTTTAAAATTTAATTAAACCAGAAAAGCTGCACTTTTAAACTCAGGTGTTACCAGCTGCTGATTTGACTGGACTGTGGTGCTTGAGAACACACTGTAATTCCATGACAATTAATTTTGAGGCAGTGCCAGTTTAAATGATCCCCTTTGTTTTATTTTCCTTTGTCCTGCAATGGAGGGCATGGGGCAGGACCAGGAAACACTGCTTCAGGGGTGCCACCCAAGCACAGAGCTGTGAAAGCTTAAAACATAGTTGAGGCTTGGGGCTGTCCTTTTCTTGAAAGCTGTGTGCATCCTCCAAGCCTCTCTGCATGTGTGCTGGCTGTCCTTGGACATTTATCTGCTAAGAACTGCATGGAGCTGGTGTGTTTATTGACAGGACAGACTGGTGTGGAAAACAGGGATTTGCCTTGTGTCCTCAGCCATGAAATACCAAAGTGTCTTTGCTTGTGTTAATCTTTGCAGGAGTGGTGATGCACTGTGTTAAGGACGAGCACACAGCTACAAATATGAACCTTCACTACTTGGAGAACGGCTGTGTCATGGTGAATTTCATTTTCCAGAAAGAGTTGTTCTTCCTTCCCTTGGGATTTGCTCTAAAGGTAAACAACCAATGCTTGTGCTTTCTGCATTGAATAAATACAGAAGTTTTGCTAAGCGTTTTTATTTAAGAAATGAGAAGAAGCTAATTCCGTATTAAGTATTTTCAGTCATCTTTCCTATACTGGCTGACGAACTATAGTCCAGACCGAGCCTGTGGCTGCAATGTAGTGCAGGGCTGCATCAGGGGAAGCATGTGCAGGGTGTAGAGAGGAGAGGAGAGGAGAGTCACACAGGGGTTTCATGACCTCTTCTTGTTAGACCAAGCCAGAGGCCTGTGGCATTTTGTGGTGGAAGCACCATTTCACTTTTTCTTCAGCACTATTCTTCAACTTTTATTTCAACAAAAGTAGCCGATGACCTGTTGTTTTAATATGCAAAGGAATTGCACTGACTTCCTGGTAGCTCAGGAGATCTCAGGTATAAGTCGTCACTCTGTGGGTTTAACTTCCCCCATCTGCACCAGTCAGGCTTGGTTCTGTACTGGTTTCCTGCAGCCCATCCAGGTCCCACTGTGGCAGACTGCAGCAGCCCCATTGCCTTTTGGGTTTCTTGCTGTGTAATGATCCTGGTGCTATCCTCTCTTGGACAAGAGACAGCTCATGCTCTGTCTGCTTCCAAATTGTGTATATCGTGGTTACCAAGCAGCAGAACTGAGCTTACATTGCTCTCTTTCATAAAGAAAGCTGCCTTGGTGTCTTTTTTATTCAACTTTAAATTTTTCATGAACTTTTTGAAGCCTGCTTAAATGTGATGAACAAATAGTTTACTTAAAGACGAGGCACATTTGTCAGTAAATACAGAAGTCATTGGTGGACAAAATACTTGCTTAAGTCCGACACAAAGAAACAAAGAGGAAGCCAACTTTTTTAGTTCTTGGGGTTAAAGTTTGGGCTTTAGTATATGAAGTGTTGAAACTTAAGTTAGTTTGTTCTAATGGCTTTCATCAAAAGGTCAGATTGCCTTTTGGTTTGCATGAGGATAAGAAGTAGCTTGAGACAATGGTGAATTAAATTCACGTTTCTAAGTGAGCTCACTTTATAAAGATATTAGTAAATTTTACCTAAACAAGAGAAGTCTGTTAATTTAGGAGTACAAATCTGGTTTTTCCCAAGGGTCTCATTGGATTGGGAATACTTGTGATCATCATTAGGAGGTGAATATCCCCTGCATTACTCTCTAAGCACCTTAGCCCCACCGTATTTTTCAGTTTGTGTGGTGGAAGAGTACTTCCAGAGGACTGAAAACATGAATCGATGGGGTGCCTTAGTTCTTCTGCCATATTTTATGGCCAGGTGTTGGTATGACCATGTGCTTTTCTGACCTGATACACTTCTGTCTTTCAGGCGTTAGTTAATTTCTCAGACTACCAGATTTTTGAAGAGTTGGTCAAAGGAAAGGAAGAGGACACCTTTTACATGAACTGCGTTACTGAGATGATGAGAGCTGTAGTGAATGCGGGCTGTTACACACAGCAAAACGTCCTCGAATACCTGGGAAAGAGCTTCAGGATAAAACTTAACCTTCCTGAGTGGTACAGCAATGAGCAGGCTGCAGATTTCATTTTGAAGTATGTGTGTGTGCTTGTGGGACGGTGCGATTCAGTGTGATTGTATTGAAATGACAGGCAGATTTAAGAGTATTCTGCCATGTTGTGTCACACGTTGTTATGGTTTTCACATGCATTCATGAAACGATGGGACTATGGGATATTATGATAATAGGTAGTTGTGGCGGTCAGAAATTTGTATTTCAACAGATTGACACAAGCATCCCCAAAATGGTTTCAGGAGAGAGTATAAGTTGTTTAGATGTGATTTTGTGATGTATTTGATTAAAAACATAAAGATTAAGGAAGAGAAGGTTAGGGCTAGGTCTGTGACTGCTCCAGGCTCTTGTTTGTTGAACAGAAATACTGCAATTTGTGGCACTTTATCAGCTTCACACAGTCAGTGACTATGATGAGAATTACATTTATCTTTTAAAGTGGTAGAAATTAGGTGCTTCTTCCATGGAATAAGTTAGAAAGGAATGGAAAAGCTGGCTTTGAGGCTGTCAGTGTGACAGACATTCAACTAAATAATTCCTTTTTCTGACAAAGTAGGTGTTTGCTCTTAGAGAGGTTTTTTTAGCACTTGAAAAGGATCATTTGGGATGCTGGGTCCTTGAATACTTGTAACAGGGGTGTAGTCAGGTGGCTGGAAACACAAGGGCAGCCTGCAGGTGCTTAGAGGGGTGCTTAAAAGCCCATAGACCAACTGGGAGAGCAGAACTTCGTACTGAGAAATGAGAGAGGATAATTTCAAGTAAGTTGGAATGGCTCTGATTTTCTTGTTTCTGGTTATTCTGGTGGGTGGCTTGTTTGTTATTTTGTGGGGGTTTTTCCCTCTGTGATACGTTCTGTGCACATTATTTGCCCTCAGCTGAGGAGATAGAAGCAGAGGAATGTGCAAACAATATTTGGGATGTACCTTGTATGTAAGAATGCTGGAGCTGTGACTTTCCTAGACAGGACTTGCCTTTGGAGTTTTGCCTTGCTTTGCAGTGAAGATGTGAAGGCTTCAGCAGAGGGCAATGCAGAGCAGAAGTGAAAGCTGAAAAAACCCTTAAGTGCTGATGCACTGAATACGCTGAGGCTATTGCACTCTTGTCTTGGAGAGCATCTGATCTCAAGTGTCCTGGAAAGCAGACGATCAGCTTTAGTGGGAAATAGGCGTAGCTTTCCTGTTTGCTTGCACTAGAGCGATTTTCAGCCCATGGTTTTCCACGCATGGTTTGTGCATGGCAGTGGAGATTGGGACTTTCTGTGGCAGGACACTGATAATGTTAACAGAAGTGTTTTGTGGTTTGCTGCTAGTTTCCAGCTCAGATTTGGGGTGGGGTGCATGTATGTGGATGTGTGCATGTATATGACTGGTGTCATGGCTACTGCAAAATAACACGTAAACCTCATCTGTTGACTCACAATCCTCATCCTAACTCAAATACCTGTGTACATAAACTGTGTAGTTATAAGGACACTTAACACGGAGGTGTGTAAAATCCATCTTTCACAATGTTCACCTTCATCTAATCAACAGGTATATCCTTAACAAAACTAGCCCCTTAAAAAGACAAGTTTATCATTTTTCAGCTCAGTCTGAGTTGTTTTTATTATCATTTCTTGGCATTTTCATGTAATGCTACGGGAAACTGGAAGAACTTGTTAGGCTTTTTAGACCTTTTAAAAAAAATTGGTTTGTGATTATGTAGGAGAAACGTGAAGAACAGCTAGCATGATTGTCCTCCTCCTTTCTGTCCCTCCAGCAAGTGTATCTGCATCCACCTGACAAACAGAACTGAGAAGTTCTACCTGCTCTGCATGATGACCCGGAAGCTGTACGCTTTTGCCAAAGGGGAGTGCATGGAGGATAACCCGGACAGTCTGATGAATCAAGAAGTGCTCACCCCAGGACAGCTTTTCCTGATGTTCTTAAAGGTGAGGTCTTCAGGGGTTTAAGCCTATGAATGTCATGGTCATCCAGTCGAGACCCTGCAGTGACCATGCCGTCATCCTCATTTTAGGATGTCTGGAGAAAAGTATTACTGTTCAGAAGCTTGACTATCCCATGAAAATCATTGTGGAATAGTAGTTCCCATCCCCAAGTAAAGATACTTCCCTGAGTTACTAGTTCACTCTTTTTTAGCCTTTCTTTTCCATTGTAGCCAAAATTTTCTTTAGCATTGTTTTGTTGAAATTTCGACTACTGCTTTCTACTACCTGAGTGGTTTCAGTCAGTTTAGAAGTAAAGTGAAGTAAAATAAAATAATGTGAGCATTTTAGTGCTACATGGAACTGTCACCAGGAACGGTTGCTTTCCGTGTCAGATCAGCAGGGGAGTGAGTTAACAGCCTCTGTTCTGGATGCAAAAATCCTAAATAGGCTGGAGCATGCAGTCAACACAGTGTGGCTGCAAAGTGGGGATATTTACTAAGAGTTCAAAGTGTTGTTTTGTATCTTGTGTCCTTTTTCCTGTTTTTATATAGCATCCAAGGTCACAGCAGTGATAAAATCACAGTTGCAATTAAAATCCAGTTCACTGTCTCAGACTGTCTCAGCAACATTTAAATACTGCATGTCTGTGGCATTCAAGGTTTGGTATCTAAACTTACTTTGTAACGTAGTTTTACTTCATGACTATATTTAGCAGGCTAATCAGTGGAGTTATTCTTGTGGTTGGATTAGAGGTACAATTTCTGCTTTGCATTTTGTTTGTTCTTTACAAAATTCTGTCACTGTACTTCGTTTGCCAGACTGATCACTGGTCTGGGTGGAAGTGATGACGAAGCTGTTTGATGGGTATTTTCCTTGCAGGTCTGTGTTGGCATGATACCACCAGCATTTTGTTTAAATGAAGTCAATGTGGGAAATAGGGCAGGAAAACTGTCACTTCACTAGAAGTTGTCCCTCCTGCTGATTTCAGAGGATTTCTGTAGCACATGTAACTGATGTGAAGTTCTAATCTGAGCTTCTGTTTTCCTGTTTTAAGTTTCAATCTCTCACTTTTAAACCGTAGGAGAGGCTTGAAAACTGGTTGCAATCTGTTAAGTTCGTTTTGGAGAAAAGAAAAGAGAAGGCAGATATCAGCATAAATGCAGACAGCTTGGTGAAGACATTCGGCCTGGCAACAGACCTTACCAAGCCATTTGAGTATCTTCTTGCAACTGGTAACCTGCGATCTAAAACCGGTAAATCTTCAGGCTTAAGAAGCCTTTTGTATTTTTTTGTCCTGCTAAACAGAATGAGAAACATAAAATTAAGCCCTTATCTGAATACAACTGCTTGTGTGCAGACATTGCACACTGTAACTGAATTAATGAAAGGGGTCTGAGGATAGGGATAGTTGAGGAAAAAGGCAAGATTTCTCCTCAAGCACAGACTTTGTGTGGTATGAAACAGCTCAGTTACCAAAGCAAAGCCTCTACCCAGATAAACAGTCGAAACTGCTAAATTTAGCACTGTCCAAAACAGTGACCATATTTTGATTTGTTTTCCCAAAGATTATTTCTTCTTAGAAGGTGCAGTGTAAGGGAAGGGGGGAGTTTGTTTATCAGGACTGTCCTATTGGTCATGTGAGCTTAAATGGAGAGAAACTGCTTCGCTAATGTATATTGCAAATTTTCCTGGTGCTTCTCTGATGTGGCTGGTGTGATGGTGTTGTAATGGAATATGCCCTAGAAAATGAAATTAAATGAGAAGGCCGCGGAATTTCAGTAAAAAGTACCACCTGCAAACCCCCAAGTTGCCTCACTGGGAATGACTTTCATGTGTTTCTAAAAGGAGTTGGATTTTAAGCAATAGCTTGGAATTTGTAGTCTCTGCACAGGCAACAACAGACGTGCCTCCTGTTGCTGGGATCCTGTGTGAGCACCTATAGGGCTTGTCAGTGAAAACTAAGAAACTGCCTTGTAACGTCGTATTTGTTAAAGCTGGATGGCATCCTGACATAAATCTCAATTCTCTTCCCAAGGCCTGGGCATGTTACAGGACAGCGGTCTGTGTGTGGTGGGAGACAAGCTGAATTTCATCCGCTACCTCTCCCACTTCCGCTGCATACACAGAGGGGCAGCGTTTTCCCAGATGAGAACCACAACTGTGCGCAAGCTGCTGCCTGAGTCCTGGGGGTTCTTGTGCCCTGTGGACACCCCGGATGGAGAACCCTGTGGTCTGATGAACCACATGACGGCTGTGTGCGAGATAGTGACGGAGATGGTGCCCGTGACAGACATCCCACCTCTGCTATGTTCCCTGGGTAGGTTTTACTGCCTTGCTTACTTAATGAAGCAGTTTTCCTTTTTATCTTTCTGCCCTGCAAAGCTGCATCTGGGAAAGGTTCTCCAGGTACCATCAGTGTACACTCAAGAAGGTGAAATCAAGTTAAACCTCTGCTAACTGTGCTTTTGCTTAGTGGTGAGCAGCACGTTGCTTATACAGGCATGTCAGCCTTTTGGAGAGGGTAAATGTTCAATGTAAATGTCTCTTAGCTGTGTGCTGCAGAAGGAATATGTTCACTTAAGCAGAAGGAATTGCACAGTACAGGCTCTAAGAAATTGGACCAAGCAGTGACTTTTGTATGCTGCTGGTAACTTGGGTTAAGCTGCCGCTCACTTGTGATTACCATGATAACAGGAATCCTTATTTCAGTCAGAAAAAAATGGGGAGGAGAATGGTGTTCTTACTTGGGCGTGTTTTATATTTTCCAGTAAGTAAATTACAGCTTTACCCTGTAGGTCAGAATTTTTTCTTGTCTCAGAAAGCTTTTTAGTGTGGACTGAGGCTTCCTGTAGAAATAACTTCTGTGTTTTGTTTGCTGTTTTGGCTGTTCCTTCTGCCGACCCCCTCTTTTCACAGGTGTCACCCCCATTGATGCATCGCCAAGCAAGCCTTACGCGGAGTGTTACCAGGTTGTGCTGGACGGCTCGGTGGTGGGATGGGTAGAGCGGGAGCTGGCTCCTGAGATCACAGAAACCCTCCGCCGTTTCAAGGTTGTCTTGTTCAAAATGTTTCTTAGCTACACATCCTCAATATGCAGTGGTCACAAATAGGCGTGCTTGGGACTTTTTAAAAAGCTTCCTTTGTTTTTCTTTTAATCTGATCCAATAAGTTGTCTTTGGCTGTAGGAGCAGGCTTTTCTGGTTCCCTTGTTTATATCTGTATGTTTGGTCTGTTGGTTTATGAAGTAATCATTTTTAGAACTTTTTTCCTTGAAAAAAGGGAAGATAGACGTATTCTGTCCTGTTCTTGGTGGAGATTTTTGTAGAAATGTTTTTAAAATACTTTCTCCACCATTGTATGTTATTGGCTACACCTGTGGTTGGCATTTTCCTTGTGTAACCTGTTGGATACAGCTTAACTAAACAAGTGTTGGTTTGTGTTTCTAAACTGGTGTTCCTTTGCACAGATAACACAAGAGAAGAGATTTCCCTCACGGGCAGAAGTGGTCCTTATCCCAATGACGGGAAAATCCAGTCTGTATCCTGGCTTGTTCATTTTTACCACCCCTTGCCGGATGGTGCGGCCTGTCAGAAACCTGTTCTATGGGAGGGAAGAGTGGATTGGTACTCTGGAACAGGTGGGGGTTGCTTATTTCCTTTATCAAGTGCTATTACAGAGGTAGCTGGCATCAAAAGCAGTGTTTTGGAAAATAGTTGTGAAAGCAGCTGAGGAGGGGACATGGGAAGCTTGTGTTGAAGAGCTAGAATAGGTGGTAAAAGGATTTTCTAATTGGTTTAGTGTTAACTTAGTGCAGTTTTTGGGGCAAAGGATTGCTGTCTTTGTGCGCTGTCTCATCTGGTGTTAGATCACATTCTCCAAATTGCCTGTGGGCAGCCAGGCAGTGGATTGCCTGGTAACTCACCCCTTTGGAGCAATTAAAGTGGGAGGCAGAAGAAGGACATGTTACTGCAGTTTGGTATTTCCAGGCTTGCTTTCCTTGCAGCTGGTCTGTGATTGCAATAGGTAGTTTAACAGCTGTCTGGTATTTTTCTTGCCTGCTAATACACTAAGGTACAGACAACCACCACAACTAAAACTGAAATGGATAAAAGGACATTGGAGGAAGCTTTTGTTTCGCTTCCTTCCCTTTAAAAGAAGGAAGCAAACCAGCATTGTCCAATTTGATGCTTGCAGATCTACATGAACGTGGCCTCGCTAGAGTCAGAGGTGGTGCCCGGAAGGACCACTCACCAGGAGCTCTTCCCTCACAGCATTCTGAGCGTGGTGGCCAACCTCATCCCCTTCTCTGACCACAACCAAAGTCCGCGAAACATGTATCAGTGCCAGATGGGTAGGTGCTGTAGTACCTCATGCTGCAAGTCCCTGGGCAAGAGAGATGGGGAGAAAAAGTCTCACATGTCTATTCCAGTGTGTTCTCCCACATCCCAAATAACAGCTCTTCCCAGATGTTGTTTCATTGTTGAGGTTGATAAACAACCATTTTTTCATGGCAAAGTAAATGAAGTCAAGTTGATCGTCCCAGTTGCCTTCCAGTGGGCAGTTTTAGATTGTTGCACTCATGCTGCCTTCCTTAAGCCTTTAGTAAGTTTTGTTGGGTTGTTTGGGTTTTTTTCTTAATTTGATGTTGTTCATCATACAGACAAGTGAAGGGCACTGCACCTGCAGTTTGGTGGTGGTTGTGTCCAACAGCTGTGCTGCCAGCAGTCCTCTCCTCCCCACAACCTGCAGAGGTTAACCCACTTCTGGCTGGTAGATGCTCTGCAGCAGTTGGTGTGAGGTTTCCTTGCCACCTGTTTTCAGTGAGCAACCGCTGTCCTGATGCTGTGGCTGTTGAGACAACGCTTGCTACAGACACCTGTTGCAAGAGAGTGATACCTTACTGTGGCAACAGGGTGGGGGATTTTTTTCTGACAACTGTTTGACAAAGATTTAAATTTATTTGGTTGTCCAGAAGAAGTTAGGATAGGGTATGTAGTGGGGATTCAATTAGTTGAGGTGCAAGTGATGTGCAAGAAGCTTGAGGGGGTTTTTTAATAAAAAAGCAAGCTAAGAGAAAGTGTGTGGGTAGGGACTTCAAGAGAGCAGGTCTCATTACCTCCATAGCATTGCTACATTTCTGACAATATTATCAGAAAGGTGTCCTTAAAAATGCTACCACTTTCTCATACTTTTCTGAAAATATCAATGTGTTCAAAACTTGTTTTCCTTGCCAGTATATTTATACTGCAGAAGCAAATGCTTTTTGGCCTGGAAATATGTCAGGTGTGCCTCACTATGGGAAACTCTGGGAAGAGGAAAACAAACACACGTACATGCACACACAAAAAACCCCCCAGACAAACAAAACCAAAGAACACCACACCAACCCTGTTCAAGATTTTGAAATTGCAAAAAAGACACAAAATTACAAATAGTCCTTATGAAATGCTATGAAAGGAATCAAGTGTTGTGATTCATAGAAGCTTTTATAGCTGGACTTAGGGCAATTATTAAATTCCAGGGGTTTAAAGGTTGATAATCCGTTTAAATTGCATGCATTCCCAGCTCTCTTCTCAAAAAGACACATGGAGGATGAAACATAGATCAACTTTGAATTGATCCTTAATAAATCCAACTTTCTCTCTTTATAGGAAAGCAAACCATGGGGTTTCCGGTTTACAACTACAAGGACCGCTCGGATAACAAGCTGTATCACCTCCACACTCCCCAGAGCCCTCTGGTGCGGCCCAGCATGTACGACTATTATGGAATGGACAGCTATCCGATCGGCACCAATTCAGTTGTGGCTGTCATCTCCTACAGCGGCTATGACATGGAAGATGCAATGGTGAGCCACCAAAATGAGGAATCCTGCTGTGCTGTAAAGGAGTTTTGTGTGGGGGATGGAGAAGAAGGGTGGTACCTAGCCAAGAAGAGCCCGTCTTGTGCTTCTGCTAGTCCACAGGCTCCATTAGGGCAGACACATGAGCACAGCAGTTAAGTGTTGTTACCACAGGTAATACTGGAGGTGTTGAGAGCAGAGCAGAGCTCCCTTGTGTGAGGCAGTGGGCTTCTAGCATTGAGAAATACTGAGGTTGGCAGAAGGTTTGGGCCTATTGGAACGGTGACTTGCTGGGAGGTTTTGTTTAGGAAGGCAATGTTAAAAAAGTAAGCAACAGATCAGAATGGAAATGCTTTCACTGTTGAAATTGTCAGCAGTTCTTTATCAGGGCTTTGTTTCTTCTTTTTAGATTGTGAACAAATCTTCCTGGCAGCGAGGGTTTGCCTATGGAAGTGTTATCAAGGCGGAGAGCATTGACCTCTCCCTTAAAGCCAGCAGGTCAGGCGACAATTTAGTATTTGGCATCAGGCCTGGTGATCCGAACGTTGCCAAGTTGGATGCCGACGGACTGCCTTTTGTTGGCTCTATCCTACAGCCTGGGGACCCCTTCTACAGCTTTGTGAACCTCAACACAGGAGAGACCTTCACTGTGTACTACCCGTAAGTACAGCTTCTCCCTCCGGGCTCCGCACACCTGGTGCTGGCAGTTGGGGAGCGCTTGGCCCTGATGAGCTGCAGTATCTTCCTCCAGATGTTCCCTCTTCTCCTCAAGTGACGCTGTCCATGTCTTGACAGAGAGAGAACAAAGTTCATGTTGTACATGATTCCCACACATGTATCGTGGCTTTTCTCTAAGCCAGTGTATGCTGCAGAGCATGACTTATCCCAGGAGGAGAATTTGAGACCATGCTGTCTCCCAAAGACAGTTCCTCTGCCCATTGCCCGCCGTTGTTTTCTGTAGATTTTTGTTAATTGAGTCGCATAAGGTTTTCTGTCTAAAAAAACGAAACCCAAAGAAACACCAAACAGAAATAGAAACCAAAGTTCCTGGTCCCAAAAACTTGCCAGAAAACCTGGTAAGCAAAGTTGTTACAGAATTAGGGGTTCAAAGAGCATTTTTATTAACATTGCAGCTTCCAAACTGATAGAATATGAAAATGTGTCAAATTCCCCTCTGGAATATTTCAGGGATAATTTTTGTAAGATTTTTGAACTTTAGCTGAAAGAGAGAAGGCTGCTGAGGCATTCATTAAAGTCCTCTAAATTCTCTCAGGAAGAGGAGGCAAAAATACTGACAAAACCCCTGATATATTTAAATGCATCCTGCACTCCCACTTGTCTGTACAGCTTCAGGCCTTATCTGAGTGTCTCTACAACACTGACAGCAAGGGTTACACTGCATAGTTGTTCACTTTGTGAAGGTTAATTAGTTTGAGAAGCACGTGGGTAACACGGTAACTGGCATTGCTGGGAAAGCTCGCCATTACTTTATAGTAGATGCTGCCTAAGCTGCACGGGGGAGACTGCTGTGGCCTCCCAGAAGTGGTCATCCTGGTCATAGCACAGGGCTGAGATTCAGCACCTGGCAGTGGGAACTGGTCAGCTCAGCCTTGTCCTTGCATTAGCAGAGCCCTTTGGCTCCTAGCCTGTGCTCCTGCTCCCCAGCTGTCTCATCCCAGCCTGGCCTTCGTTCACATTCCTTACCCAGGGAGACATTTGACCTCTCTGCCAGTCAGCTTTTGTTCATTCCTGGTCCAAATCAGACGGCTTTGTAGTTTCCTACAGAGAGATGAGGTTCCCAGCTCTCAGTGTTGGCTCCTGCCCCTAATTTGCCCCAGAGACCCTTTTAAGAGGGAGTTCTCCCTGCTGTCCTCAGTGCTGCATGTTCTGCTACATCTTATGCATGGCTTGGAAGAGAGGGAGGACAGTGGCTTTGGGTTCAGAAGTTTGAACAAGCTTGGAAGAGGCTTATGAAGCATAGTTTTATTTTCTGTGATGCTCTGTACCCTGGTTGCATTTGGACACAGCAAAATAATAGCTTTGAAACAGAAGCTAAACACAGGTACAGGCCTTCTGCACACACTGCATTCATTAGGACTCCCCTTTCTGCGCTGAGCATTCCTCTGCTGTGCTGAGCTCAGTTCTCTCTTTGGCATCCCACTAAGACGGATGAATTTACAGGGGGCAGGGAGAGGGGCTGCTGCCTCCACACACAACAAGTGGCGCTGGGGTGCAGTTTGTCAGATAAAGCGTGGTACAGATGAACTGGGTTTAAATGATCTTTATTTTAAATTGGGGGTGGTACACTACCTGATCACCTGAAAGTTGTAGCTGTGCTTCTAGTGTTTGAAAGAGCAAATGAAGGGCACTTGTGTGATGCTGTAGTGTTGCTTCCTTGCCCTAGTTCTTATGCAGTCTGATTTCCCTTGCTACCTAAATAGTGCTTTCCAGAAACAGTGGAACAGTTCCTCAGCCGTCCCAAGGCATTTTATGAGATTTACAAAGTGGTTTGTTGTTTTTCTGTCCATTTCTCTTTCATAGCTAAAAATCATTAGTACACCTGACACTTTTGCTGTGATTGTTTTTCTACCTACGCAGGAATAAGGAAGTCGGCATTGTGGACAATGTCAGGTTATGCAGTAATGACCGTGGCACCGGGAAATTCAAGAAGGCTTGCATCACTGTCAGGGTTCCCCGCAATCCAACTGTAGGAGACAAATTTGCCAGCCGCCACGGGCAGAAAGGCATCCTGAGCCAGCTCTGGCCAGTGGAGGATATGCCGTTCACAGAGAACGGGATGGTGCCAGACATCCTCTTCAACCCTCATGGCTTCCCCTCCCGTATGACCATCGGGATGTTAATCGAGAGCATGGCAGGGAAGTCGGCGGCGCTGCATGGCACCTCCTACGACGCTACTCCCTTCACCTTCACAGAGAAGAACTCAGCTTTGAAATACTTCGGTGAGACTTTGGTGAGCGCAGGTTACAACTTCTTTGGGACAGAGAAGATGTACAGTGGCATCAGTGGCCTGGAGCTGGAGGCGGAGATCTTTGTGGGAGTGGTGTACTACCAGCGCCTGCGCCACATGGTCTCGGACAAGTTCCAGGTGAGGACGACAGGGCCCCGAGACGCCATCACCAACCAGCCCGTCAAGGGGAGGAACGTGGAAGGTGGGATTCGCTTTGGGGAGATGGAGCGTGATGCTTTGCTGGCACATGGCACATCTTTCTTGCTGCAAGACCGCTTGTTCAACTGCTCCGATGGCTCCGTAGCCTACATTTGCACGAGCTGCGGCAGCATGACATCTCCTTTGCTGGAGAAACTGCCGCTCTCCTCCTCCGTGACAAGCAGCAGGAGGTACTCCTGCTCTGTCTGCAGCAAGGTGGACGCCATCGAGGTTGTCCCAGTGCCCCACGTCTTCCGTTACTTTGTGGCAGAGCTGGCGGCCATGAACATCAAAACAAAGCTCAAAGTGGAGTAGCTCTGTCCTCAGCCTGATAACGTGGCTGCTGGGAGGGAGGAAGCACGGGGCAGTCTCGCCTTTGCCCCTCACAGCTTTTGAGTGTTAAATCAGTTCTCAGGTTCTTCAAACATTTGCAAGATTAATTTGAAGTTTGTATTGAGACGGGGCAGTCGCCAGGCTGCATGGAGAGGAAATGCAGCTCTGTTGAAGTTCATTTGCACTTCCTAAAGGATCACTGGTTATTGAGGTGTGGTGTATGGGAATCAAGCAATATTGCTGCTGCCACCAGGCTGCTGGGCTGAGAGCAGGGGTGGTTCTTCATTCTCCGAGTGCTGATTGCACCTGCAAAGATGAAGAGGTCAAAAAACAGCATGAAGTGAATGCTGGAGATGATGAGAAAAAAGATTTTGTTTTTTTAAAGAGAGATCTTTGCACAACGTATGCCTTAATGATGGATACGTGTTAAAGTGATTGGACCTGTTTTGTTTAATTTCAATACCTATGCCTTCAAACTGATGAAGAAGGTGACGACACAAAGTTCAGCTGCACAAAGCCCAAGTGTGACTGTGAAAGACCAAGGTGGCCAAGTCAGGTCTGTGCTGGGAGCATTTGGTGTTGCTGAACCCAGTGCCTGTGGTGGTTTTTTTGGTGTGTTTGGTTAAAGAAGATGACGGCAGCAGGCTGGCCAGCCCGGCCCTGGAAAGCACAGATGCCATGTGACAGAAGCCCAGTTGCACCAGCCACTGGATGCCAGCCCGGACCCGGTGCTTCCTCCGGCCTCCTTTGTGCTCCCAGCCACCGCGGGGAGAGCCGGGCGGGGGCCTCTCGGTGCCCCGGGCAGCAGCCGTGCACCTCTCGTTAAAAGTTCTTTTGTACGTTTCTACATCACCTGTCTGCAGAG